TGGTTGAATGTGAAATGTCACATATTATAATATGGACATTAGCATTTTAAGTCATTAAATCACCACGACATCACACTATTTATGTGAAGAAGAAAAAACAACAGAACGGAGATGGGCAATGACACGAAGACAGAAACATTGAAACAGCAGACAGAACAGATATCATAAAGATCACTGAATGATCCACAATGCGAAGTGCACCCTTCTTTCCCCACAAGCAGTAATCTAAAAATTGTGCCGTCAACATATAAAGAGTGCACTTATATAAAACGATTGATTGATTGGTGTTTAACGCAACTTTCAGCACAATTGCTCTATTGCGGCGCGGTCTGTTTTTATTGGTGGAGAAAGCCGGAGTGCCCGGTGATATCCAACGACCTTCGGTAGGAAAACTGAAAATAAAAGTCAATTAAGATTGGTTTCGAAAGCACCTGCCACGTGCCGGATTCGAACTCACAACCTCAGTGTTGACAGGCTATCAGGCTTGGGGTAATTGTAAATGTAATCATTAATCAGCTGTAATCGATTACAATTTTTCAAATAATCATTTTAATCATTAATCAGCCAAAATTTGAATTACATGTAATCTAGTTTAATCAATTGCTTTTCAAAATACTTTGTAATCCTGATTAGTTTTTGATTACATTCTGATTACAATGAAAACAATTCTCAAATTGTGTTGATGGTCAATATATATCATGTCTTAAATGAACATCTTTATTATTCATATTTGATTAATATTTAACTTGTTAAAATAGTTTTTTTTTTATCTTAAGCATGTTACGATATTATGAAATATGGATATACATGTAATTTGATACCAACAAAATGTTATTTTAATAATATTTTTTTAAATCTTATTTTGTGAGGACTTCATTACATGCTGAAAGGTAAAAATGACTTGTGTAGAAAGTAAAACTGACTGGTAAAGAAATTTAGTTTCTCTTATTCCAAAAACCTTTGGCAAAAACATGCTCAAGACTGGCCATATGCATAGTGAGTAAATACCAGCATTTTTAGCTAAATATGTGTACAGTGAATTAGATGATTTTCATTGTGAAAAGGAGTTCAGATATGTAAAGTTTGAAGTTATTATTTAATAACATATTAAATAACATCCTTTCATAAAAAGTGTTACATTTATAACCTTTATTCATTAACATCATTCAAAAAGATTATTTTGAAATTCATTGTAATCAGATGTAATCATGATTACTTGCCAATGTAATCATTAATTTAATTAGTTACTTTTAGAAATGGTGTAATCGTTAATTTAATTTAATCGTACAATTGATAGAGTAATTGTAATTTAATCAATTACATTGAAAGTAATCGGACCCATCTCTGCAGGCTAGTGATACAGTAGTTCGACTACTTAGACCACTCGGCCATCGAGGCCCTCAAATCAAATGGTTTAACTTTAAATGGACAAGCGAATATAACATGCGATGAGTTAAATTATTTATCTGTTATCCAAATCAGACTCCTACTAGTGGTAAGAGGTTAAATTAAACATACAAACATTTTCAAGTGCATAGTAAAAGTCAGTACGGATTGTTTCCAATGAACCAAGGAAACACCTCAACGCAAATAACATGAGGACACAAAAAAGATAAATTTAAAAAAATATGAAAACCCGCAGTTACTGAAAGCAAGCTCTTGATACCAAAAGAAAAAAAAAAGTGATAAGGTTTACCAATATTTCATGTCTTCTTGGTTTTGTCAGAGGCGGATCCAGAATTTTTCAAATATAGTAATTCCTGTAATAAAAAGCGACGAGCGGTGCGAGTCAAAAATATTTTTGTACATAGATTTTATGCTTGAAAATAATATAGTTTCCAATGAAAATGCCACCTCCCTCCTGAATCCGCCTCTGGTTGTGCAGTGCCAAAATAAAAATAGCAACTTAGTTTCTTCAAATGGAATGAGTCCACCCGACAGGAGCCTGTAATTCAGTGGTTTACGTTTGTTGTTCATGTTTCTGTATATCATATTTGTTTTTCGTTCATTATTTTGTACATAAATCAGTTCTCGTTTGAATTGTTTATTATTTTTCATTTCGAGGCTTTTAAAGCTGACAATGTGGTAGGGGTTTTGCTTATTGTTGATGGCCGTACGATGACCTGTAAATGCTAGCTTCTATGTCATTTGGTCTCTTGTGGAGAGTTGTCTCATTGGCAATCATACCACATCTTCTTTTTTTTATAACAGGGAATAAGATCTTGTCTCTGTGAACAAATATTACTATAAACAAACATTACACGTCTATAGGCATATCTTTATAGAGATAAGAGACCACAAGTAGGACTTTCGGGCTGTCGGATTAGAGAACTGTCGGACAAACGGGATGTCGAAGCATAGGACTGTCGGACTATAGGATTGTCGGATTATTTGATTGTCGGCTTATATGATTGTCGGATTTTAGGTCTGACCCCTATTCCGCCCCCGTTGGTCCGACACCTCATTAATCCGACAACGCAGTTGTCCTAGACTCTATTAGTCCGAAAAAGGTTGTAATTGTAAATCAAATTCATAGAATCAGTAGACGAGGTATTTAAACTAGTGACTACTCTGTTTTTAAAATATAAAGACACGGAAAGACAGAACTTTCCATCCGGTATGTAAGAATTACTATGATTCTATAAATATAAGGCAATCTACAACCTTGCAATATTTGGATTTACTAATAGAAAGTGTGTCCTATCTATTTCATAGAAAACAATACGCTAAAAAAGGGAATTTGAAGATAAGTCTCTCATCGTAGAGGAAAATGTCCAGACCACAGTACATTCTCCGAAACGGTCAAAACTTCACAGATTTCATTTATAATAAAAAGAAAAATATATTATCCAAGTATGTTGGTCTCCATTATCTACACTGAACTTGAATTTAAGATTAAAAATATGAAAGTAAAAATATCCAAAGTTAAGTTGTACAATCGATAATATTCGGTCCTTTAATAAATACTTTATTAAGTAGGGAAATCAGTTACAAACGACAACATCTGCCGTCAGAATGGACTTTAGGTGAATATTCATTAAACAGTTGCGACTTGACATTAAGCAAAGAAAAATCTATCAATCATGTGAGAATGGAAAGGAGTTAACAGCAGTAAATCAGATATTTTATTGCATATTCATTGAAAATTAAAATAACACTTCATCAGTGTTCTCTTCTTCCCGCTTAACAATTAATTGATTATCGGTCAAAATTTTAATCAGTTGAACATCATAAACAAACACACTGTGTGTAAATAATTCTGTATCGACCCACTAAGATAATGGCACATGATGACAATTAACGTGTGTACGCGTATACATAGATGTAACACACACACACACACACTAAGGTTTATGCATTTTTAACGTGCTGCTAATAACGGTCTAATTATTGCCACTCTGTGTCCACCAGTCTTTGCTCTTGCTTACAAATGTCGTTTTCTGAATTGACATAGAAGTAGCTAATCTAATTATCATTCAAAACATGTGACCAAGCTCCGCTTACAATGATCTGACAACACTCCGTTATACTTTCTTTTCTGGCAATAACGCACCAGCCAATGAAATGACGTGCAAGATTACCACAAAACCAGAGAGTCACGAAAAGTGTTAAAACAGAAAATAGAACAGAGTGTTTTCAGATCCTTGTAAGCGAAGTGTGGACACACGATCTGTATTTCAATCAGATTGACAAGTAGTAAATACCAACGTCGTTTGTTCGAACTGACCGGGAATCGACCTCACGTCCTCCTGTAGTACACGAGACGAGCACGAGACAACGACACCACCAATACGGTTGTATATCAAAATAAAGGGCAACGATATTGTTTTACACTAAATTCCCGTTTTTGTTTATGTTTCAGAACTTTTTTTAATCCTTCGTTGTAGTGTCTGACGTAGTTTTTTGCATGTTGGTTTATCACTATACGGCAATTTGTGGCTTGTCACTTTTGCCAGTGTATAGCTTTCAACCTTGAAATCCTGGAAAAGCATAAGACGTCGCGTACGGTGGTGGTGTTAGTTTTGGTAACGTTAATTTGACGTATTTTTCCAACGTCATACTTCTTTAATTTCGTGTATACGGAGAAAATAATGTTTAAAATATTGTGTCATTGTGGTTGTTTTAATTGCTGAGCAACTTTTTAAAACTATTTTTACAGTTATTAATTTTGATTAGATTAGACTAAACTGGTGTTCTTCAAATGATGTCATTACTGTTATATTTCATCTCTCCTTTAAAAAAGTGAATCAAAATAGAAGAGGATACCCACCAGGCATTTCAACGTTGTTTCAACGTTGAAATAACGTCGACTTTCAACGTTGAAATGACGTTGATTTAACTGTTGATTTTGAAAGTTGAGATGACGTTGAAAAGGTGACGTTGAAACAACGTCATATTTCGACGTTGAAACAATGTTGATTTTTGGTTGAGAATAGGTTGAAAGGTTGACGTTGAAACAACATCATATTTCAACGTTGAAATAAGGTTGATTTTTGGTTGACAATATGTAAATAACAATTATTTCAAGGTTTCAACAAGGATGATTTTTGGTAGACTGACTGAAATTGAATAATCGATGAAAAGGAAAACAGTTGATTAAGGTGAACAGTATAAATTAGATGTGGTATGAATGCTAATGAGACTAACTTTCCATTCAAGTCACAACTTTGTTAAAGTAAGCAATTATAGGTTAATAATTGCCTTCAACAGGGAAAGACGTCTTGGCTCACACAACAGAAAGCTATCAAGGCAAAAATATCAGTGTTAAACAATGCAAACAGGAAAACCAAGAGTCTCATCTATATATAAAATGAGAAATAAAAAATACCTATTACAGCCATCGGACTTAAAGTGTAGGTAAAACCAAACTGTTTGATTAGCTTCCATGCTACATGAACCACAAGGTCATTATTAGCTCATGTACACCTTCCAAATATGGAATGAGTCTTGCATGTGGATTCTAAATAGGTAAAACTGTAGTACAATGTTTATGTTTACACTTTTTTATTGGTTCTCTGACTGACTAGACTCCGCCCAAAGGAGGTATTAATCCGAGCTAGTAATGACTTCACGGTTCAGCTAGCAAAGAAACTACTGTAGATACTCGCTTATAAGTCAATCTGCCTATAAGTCGGATGCCCTTTTCAGTTTGAAAATCTGAGGATTCAGGCTTGACCCGCCTATAAGTCGGTCTGAATTGAGGTTATTTATTTTAAGCAGCAAACAGTAATTTATCGTCGGTAAATCAAGTTTTGAGTATTTTTCTGTAACTGTAGTTACACACAGAAATAGTGAACTGATAAAATAAGTTCTTTCAGAATTTCACTGATGTCTGCTCTAATTTTGGACACCTTTCTTGATTGAAGTAAGTGAAATGAATGCAATAAATTTGTTTAAAATTGAATTTATTTTTGTAATTTGGATTAATCTTTGCTGGTCCTTCCCCCTCCTCCAGCTCTCTCGGGGGCATATTTTAAAAACTTCCCAATATCTTCCTTTACTTTAGTTTCTGTGATCTCAGGATACACCATCATTACGCATCCTGTAAACACATATACATCATGGTAAGTCTTAAAATATGTATACTTCAAATCAATTATTGTGAACAGTGTCATTTGCCAAAACTTTGCACACTCAATAAAATATAAATAACACAACAAGTACTTTGCTGAAAATGGAGGGTTGATGCAAATAAAGCTTACTGTAAGGCTTCTAGTGAAGTTTAGAATTAGTTGGTAAAAAAAAACATACATTGAGTAAAATAAATGAAAAATATCATTGTTTATAATTTATATTCCTTGCAATAAATTTATAACAATTTCTAGATAGAAATATGCCACCAGGCTGAAAACATTTTGTTGAAATTTCAATTTGTTTCTATACAGGTCACATTCAAAGCACCCATCAAGTCCCTAAGAGCCTGAAATTGCTAACCCTTCTATCATCACATACTTATTTACACTTATTTATCAAAAATAAGAAGCCCAAATTACAATTCAAATAATATTCCTTGGAGTTTGTAAGTAAGCTTGCAACTAATTTCATTTTTGATTGATATCAATGCTAAAAAAATCCTGTTCAACAACATAAACTAATTACTTGAATAAAGTGAATATTTTTTTTATTTTCTCTTTAATTTATATATAAAATAATCAAATTATATCAAAAAGATAATATAAAATATATATATAAATGCTAGATAATAGATCATCTTTACAAAACTTTTACCTTCCATGGTGGCAATTTTTAATTTTGAATTGGCACCTGTTCAAAGTCTAGTTTCAATCCATTGAATGCATGGTTTTTTTAAAGTTTTTTTTCAAAAGTTCAGCAAATCAAAATGTCTATAAATTAATAATGTTGTCATGTTTATTGATTTATCAAAGCTTACCTGAGATCACTTTGTAAAGCTTTGTTTTTAGGAAAGCTATCTTATTCTTTTTCCCTTTTAGGTTCATTCTTGCCATGACAATGTTTGACATCATTCTGGAACACAAAATATAAATCTGATACAATATGACCACTTAATTTCAACCTAGTTCATTTTCTTAGGATTGAAGTTTAAATATTTGAATACAGGTTTCTACTGCTAATAAAAACAAGTGGACACAGATGAGTGTGGATAGTATTATGCATTATAAGAGTATTGCATAAAACTATGAGTTAACTCACTAAGGATACCCCCATCCCGTTATGCCACATATTGTGATATTTAAATTAAGTAATTGCAATTTCTCCCTTGAAAAAAATTCGTAAGGGTTCCGCGGAACCCAGTGTCTCGCCTACTTTTTGCTGTTAATCACAGGCTCAGCAAAAATGAGGAAAAAAATTAATAAAAATATTCCTCTCTATACTATCTTTTGATTGTAAGTAGCTTCTGTCCAAGTTTGGTAAAAATCAGTTTATGAATCTAATAAATGTTTTAAAAACTTAAACTGCAGACTGTATGTAATGTTAACTGGAAGAAAAACTAAGTCCATTTATAAGTAAAATACGGAAAAAATGGAACAAAATTTCCTTCTAGATACTAGCTTTTGATCATAAACAAGCTTCTGTCTAAGTTTGGTACAAATCCAGGATAGTTTAAGAAAGTTGTTAAAATTTTAAAAACTTTAACCACAGAGTGAATGTAATGTTAACTGGCAGAAAAACTAAGTCCATTTATAAGTAAAATACGGAAAAAATGGATTTTTTTTTTTTACAAAATTTACTTCTGGATACTAGCTTTTAATCATAAACAAGCTTCTGTCCAAGTTTGGTACAAATCCAGGATAGTTTAAGAAAGTTGTTAAAATTTTAAAAACTTTAACCACAGAGTGAATGTAATGTTAACTGGCAGAAAAACTAAGTCCATTTATAAGTAAAATACGGAAAAAATGGAATTTTTTTTTTACAAAATTTACTTCTGGATACTATCTTATGATCATAAACAAGCTTCTTTCCAAGTTTGGTAGAAATCCAGGATAGTTTAAGAAAGTTATTAAAATTTTAAAAACTTTAACCACAGAGTGAATGTAATGTTTCCTGGCAGAAAAACTAAGTCCATTTATAAGTAAAATACGGAAAAAATGGAATTTTTTTTTTACAAAATTTACTTTTGAATATTATCTTATGATCATAAACAAGCTTCTGTCCAAGTTTGGTAGAAATCCAGGATAGTTTAAGAAAGTTATTAAAATTTCAAAAACTTTAACCACAGAGTGAATATTTGTGGACGCCGCCGACGACGACGACGACGACGCCGACGGAATGTAGGATCGCTATGTCTCGCTTTTTCGACAAAAGTCGAAGGCTCGACAAAAATCAGATCAGAAATATCCTCCATCATGCACATCTTCAAGTTGTGTACAACAACTGTGTAAAGTTTCATCAATATTGATTAATTTGTTAGTAGTTGTGCTTACAAGACTTGTTGCCATTTATTGCAATATTAACTAAGTAAAATCAGTTATCTCCCTTGAAATTCTGACAAGAAATATTTATCATATATATCCCCTAAATTTTGTTTTTTCAGGGTATAAAAAAAACAAAATTTGCATACATATTAAAAGTGAATATGCAGTTTCAATATCTAACTACATTAAAATAAAATACCCAGTATAACATTTTTTCTTCAACCTGGTTACAAAATATGTCAAAATAAAAGACAATTAAGGAAGTGCAATTGACCATTCTATTGAAAGGTTGATATTTCTTTCTTTTCAATATTAACTAAACTTGCTAAGCTCATACATAACAAATGCCAGTTAAGGGGCAAATTGAAGTTCAAAGTAATATGAATTTAAACAAGTGAATTATTCAGTTTCAATTGAGTAATACATTTAGAGAATTTATTAGCTCATTATGACAAAATGTAAACCAAACTGCCTGCTAATAGCGAAATATTATTTTAAAATTCCACATAAATGTTTGCCAAAAAAATAATTTAATTTTTATAAACTCCAAAGCTAGTGCCCCTTAAACACAATGAATTACTTTTTCAACTGGCATTAACAGAATTATTTAATCTTTTCGACAGACTTTTGTAAATAAATTGTAGTCTCTTTCAACTTACCTTGTCATGGCTTTCTTCATTAGGTCACTGCTTCCAGCACCTCCAATTCTTCTCAAATATTCTGTCTATAAACAAAAATGGTTTTTGTATACTTGTATGCATTGACTGAAATTAACAATGACCCTTCAAAACAACAAATGTGTCTGTGAGAAATTAAAATTCTTTATGTGCTTATTTTTCCGAAAAATTATCATTGTTAATATGTATCACTTTCCTGTGCAAAGCATAATTTTCATCTGAAACTAATAAAAACAAATAAAATAATTTAAAGGAGAATCATAGTAAAAATGTCTAGTTTCAAAAGAATCATTATCAAGCATGTATTCTGATAATTATTTTTAAATATTATATGTCAGAACAAAACATTATATTTATTAAAAAACATAAACTGTAATATAAAACTAACCAATCTTGTCTGCTGAGCTACATCATCCAAGGCATTTTCCAATTCAAAAAATTCGTCTAAGGTTTCCGCCCTTTCAAGTTCACAGTGTGTCTGTGCAGTTGTGGCACACTGATTTTTTTTCAGCAGGTCTCTTATTTCTGTTAGTAAAAACAATACTCTTCTCTGGAAACCTAAAATGATAAAACCAATGTATGATTAATGCAACATTACAATGCCTTGTCTTAAATACCCAGTATATTCAATACATATATATAGTAAGGGTGTAAATGTGACATGTATTATATGTAAACAAGAATGTGTCCATAGTACAAGGATGCCCCACTCGCACTATCATTTTCTATGTTCAGTGGACCGTGAAATTGGGGTCAAAACCCTTATTTGGCATTTGAATTAAAAATATATCATAGGGAACATGTGTACAAAGTTTCAAGTTGATTGGACTTCAACTTCATCAAAAACTACCTTGACCAAAAACTTTAACCTGACACAGGACAGACAGATGAACAGACAAACGGACGCACAGACTAGAAAACATAATGCCCCTCTACTATCGTAGGTGGGGCATAAAAACAATTTCTATGCAGAAAGCTCTCATAAGAAAAAAATTAGTATTTTCAAAACCTTTCCTTAATAAATATCAAAATAAAACTGAAACATCTAGGGTTAACCAACAATTGAAGTAGTAGTTGTGTGGTGCAGGTAAATATCAAAATAGTAAGGCATGTTGAAGGTATTTCCTAGTGTTTGATTCAAAATTTTGTGTGATATCATTTTGAAATGCAGATGTAAATTTACACTTACGTTCATCAGACATTGGAAATGTCTCTGAATTGTTACTCGTCTTTCTGCCAGATGGTATATTTTTTGCAGCTGGTGTTGAAGTATTTTCCCTGACATGAGACCTTGAGCTTATGTTGCTGCTGAATGACTGCCAATCCTCTAGTGGTGATCTAGACCTTGCTCTGTTGTTGTTGGTAGAAACTCTCTGTGGTTGAGATTGTGAGCTTGGCAGTAGATAATCCTCAAGAGGTGAGGAAGATCTAGACCCTTGACTGTTCCCTGTTGAATGTGACCTATCTTCACTAGATTTTGATTTCTGAGTATGGAGACTATGTGAGGATCTTTTTTTCAATTCTTGTAATATCTCCTCTATTGAAGGTCTTGTGGATTTTTGAGTTGTGTTTGACGGTTTTCTTTGTGATGGATTCTGTGTTGTTGGTGATCTTGTTGTGGACTTGGACGAATAGGAATAAATAGATTTTAGTTTTGAAAAAATATCTGTCGGCGGTGAATAGCTTCTTGATCTAGATCTCCATGTCTGATTGTTTGGTGGAGATCTAGATCTTGACCTCTGAGATAATGGTGGGGATCTTGATCTTGATCTGGACCTCTGTGTGATAAGTGGTGATCGAGATCTTGACTTCTGACGAAATGGTGGTGATTCTTGCCTGGTAGATGGTCTTGTTGTGGACTTCAATGTATTTGTAGACTTCAATTTTTTTGATGGCGATCTAGACTCTCTGTGGTTAGAAGTCTGACTGGAACTCAATTTTTTTTATGGCGATCTAGAATCTCTGTGGTTAGAAGTCTGACTGGAACTCTTCTTCTCTGTAACTATGGAGTTAAAAAGAAGGCAAACAATTATTTCTTTTTCCATTTAAAGCAATCATATAACAAAAGCACATAAAAAAGACAACAGGAACAGTTTACGTCATAAATAACATTTTCTATTACAATTCATCGAAACATGCCTTTTTCTCCTAAAAAGCAGCCTTCACAAAAAACATTTTCAGATTATTTCCTGCTCCGAGGTTGCCACTAGTCCTATGAACCATACTAGTAAATATTGATTTGGACTAGTACCAATTTCCAAAATTTAATATAGGCATATAGGGACAAATTTTGATATTTAGATTTCGTACAAGTAGATGAAAAAGTTTTTGGCACAGACTGTGATAATATAAGGCAACACCAAACAGTAGTTTTTTAAAGGTGGCCCCGTATGGATACAAACATGTACAGTGAAACCTGACTAAACCGAACCCTGACTAAACCGAAAACCTGTCTAAAACAAACTTGTTCTGAAGACCAATCATATCACATTTTATGCATTATGAACCTGATTAAACCGAATACCTGCCAAAACCGAACAACATATCAAGTCCCAAAGAGGTTCGGTTTAGTCAGGTTTCACTGTACCCTTAAAATAGTTTATTCAACAGGCTTATTCTACTAAAGGGCCACCAATTTATTTTTGGTAAACAGAAGTAAATTTGATTGAAAATTTAACAACTTCATATTTATTGATACCCAGATCTAGTTTTCATAAAGATAATTTGAAAGCAATGGACTCATTAGACAGCATACTTCCACAAAAAAGAAAACACAATCCTCTAGGCATCATTTTGAATAATCTATTCATTTAATAATACACCTTTTTTATCTCTGGTGGCAACCAATATTTCACAGGAGTTAACAAAAAAATTTAGTTCAATGTATATTTTAATTAAAGCTATTTATCAAACTCACCCAATTCTTTGCACTGTGCGTTTCTTTCAATTAACTTTGTGGGAGGCTTCGGCATTGATGAAGATTTTTCTGAAATTAAGTGAATAACTTAAATTATGCTTAAAATAACATCTTGTATGGTGTGTTATTCTTTGTTGAATTGACATTAAAGGATCTTGTACATGCATGTATCATAATTACAAATGTATAACTCTATGACACAATTTAAGAAATGAAACCATACACTAAAGTTACACACATAACTACGATAGACAGTCATCAAACTTCAAATCAAATGCTTTAGACAATGATATGACAAAACCACAATTATACTGCTAGTTAAAATTAGTAAAACAGAAACCCTTGAACTGATTAAGATAACCTTGATTTTTCAATGGCTCAAGTCTCGTAAGTTTGCATGTCATGAAAGTCTAGATTTTAATTTAAAAAGCATTTTTCTTCAAACTATAACATTACTCAAGCATACATGTATATGTATATATGTACTTATAACATTTAAAGTCTTTAACTTTAACAAATATATAATCATGCACAAATTTTAAGCTGATTTTGTTTTCCTTACCTTGGTTTCTTGGAACAGTAGCTTGACTTTCACCCTTATCCTTATTTTTTCCATTTTTAGATGCTCCAACTACAATAAAAGCAGTTTTACAATGTGGTACATTTTAAATTAAACAGAAAAAAACAGGGTTCAACATTAACTTTTCTCACAACTACTTGTTAGATAGAGCAAAAAACTTGTCTGAATATTATTTATAACATTGATTTTAAGCAGCTATTTGTTGACATAAAATAATAAATTAGGTAAAAACAAATGAATAGCGAGAGAGTATTTTTTGTACCTGATTTATCAGTAGCTTTTGTGCCTTCTTCATTACCAATTTCTGAAATATATAGAAAATATGGTAAAATTATTTATAGGTAAAAAAAAAAACCTGGCAAAATGTTTAGGGACATCGGCTGAAATAAATGGAGTCCAAAGGTCAGCAAAACATTTTTTGTGTGATCTGCAATACAGGAAATAGCCTTTAATCTGGTTCAAAAATTGATCCAGTATTGCATTTATATCCTCTTTGAGAAAGAATGATCATATTGATCCTTATTGTTATATATATAGCAGCATCCATATATTGATTTACAGCTCCAGCACTTTTAATATGTCTGATACTTAAAGTACACAAAATAAATTGGACTGACAAACACATTCTCAGCAAATGGCAGACAACTGGAAATTAAAACTAATTTATAACATCATAAGTTGAAATAATATCTTATCAATGAATAAATAATTGATGGACTTCTTAGAATGAGACACATAATTTTGCTCAGAAGAAAAACATTATTTTTTTCTCTATTAGTTAATAAGTATCAATATAAATACTGGAATTGTTTTTATTGTTCAAAAGATATTATTTGATTTATGGCGACATCTATTGGTAGAAATTTATACCTGTAATAAAGTCTTGGAACACTTTTTTCTTAAGTATCCTTTTTTTCCCATGATCACTATCAGCTTCATCAGGAGATAATTCAGCTGTAGTGGTAAAGTCATAATCTTCACATTCTTTTCTTTTGTCTGTAAATATATCAAAATATAAAGTTCAACATTTTTTAATACATAAAATTTTCCAGAAATAACCAAATGTTTAGATCAAAATAATTACAATAACTAGTAAAAAGTGCACCCATCTTTTAAAACAATTTTTTTGGCATATATAAATAGTTTGTTAGTTGTGTATTTTTTTCTATTTTGCTTCGAGTGGATCAATCCTCATGGTCTGGTATACATTAGTGTTTCCAGGCCTGCTCAAGCCCAACTCTGGGTACAGGTTTTCAAATTGGTGGTCTTGGGTTGTTTTATTTTGGTAGAGTTGTTGTCTTTTTGACATATTCCCTGTTTACATTTTTTATTCTAATATGGTTTAAATTGAAGTAGACGAACAGAAAAAAGGAAATTCTTTTTTTAATGGTCCTTTCAAACATTCTGATTAAAATGTAGTGTTGGTACTTTCAGATTTATAATTGACTACTAAAATAAAAGTACATGTATAACAGTTTTTGAAAGTTTAAGGTCTACAGAAGCCACTCAATCAACACCTTAATCAGCATTGTAAAATTTTAAACAGATTAAAAAAGGACAAGAGCTTTCAGAATTGTGTTTATTTGCAAATTTGGTATATATATATGCATGATATAAATAAAATAAATTTATACTTACTAGATTTAAACTTGATTTTTACCAACTCAAACTTCATCCAGTTGTCACTTGGTTTTTTCATCTCTTTCATTAACCTTTTTACATTGGTGCCAGGTGGCCACATGATGTGTTTCTCTCCAATCCAAGAGAGTGGTAAAGTTCCCTCCTCCTCTTCACCCTGCTCCTTCCAAACAGCCAACGCCCATGTTGCTTCACTATTTTCCTATGAAAAAGTTGTAATATATGAATTAACAATAATATTGTAACCTAATGCTACAACATGCGTGAAAATGTACCATGATGCTTCATGCACTAATTTATCATGCTTGAGGATGCACAAAATTAAAATTATCACATTTTATAACATGAATTTTATTATATTTTGTTCTTTTAAAGAGGGTGTTTTTCCAACTCTCTAATGTACCTTAAATGCATTAAAAAATGTTTAATATTTCACAAAAGGAATTTAGGCCCATTCTAGTATTAAAACATTCTATGTTTTACATTCAATAAACCTCTAACATGCATTTTGTAGTATTAACTTGTAAATCTATTTACACCATTACACATTAGCTTAAAATATGAATGTGTATATGTTATTGAATCTTTACCTAATGTCTCTCAATACCATGCAACATAGGCATCAACAGGTACCCTCCTTCATATGGCAAGCAAACAACTTTTCTTTCAATGTCAGCTTCTTCCACCATTTGCCTTGAAGCATATCTTTCTATGTTTTTAGCAACAGCAATGTTAATCAATTTGGAATCACATGGCTCCTTGAAAAATTGTTCAGTATATTGTGGCTTTAATATATCACAAACATATTTTTTTCCTGGGCGTCGTTCTCTGACAAAGGCGAAATTCTGATTCCAGAGAAGAAAACAACCATCCTTTTTTTTCATGGATACATACATAAAGGTCTTACTATGAATACGACGAATATTAGACTTTTCTGCCTCTGTCAATCGCTTGACTACTTGCACAATAGGGTTTTGTCCATTTTTAACCTTCTTTTTAATCTGGTGTAAATAATTTTCAAACTGAAATGCACTCAAATCGTTGAGTGATGTATCATAGTTTTTTACGTCATCAGTAACATGGACCAATGCATGAACATTATAGGAAACAAATGTATTTCCATATAGAGTTGTGGCATTCTTCACAAAATATGTCATAAGTTCTTGGGCATAATCCAAGTAGGCATTTCTGGTTTCTTTAATTGAGTCTAAAAGAATGCTTAAGGCCACGGTCAATGTTAAAAAATGGTTGTACATAGCCCTAGAAAGAACAGACTTCAGCACTAAGGGCCCACTGTACAAGACAAACTGTCTGAATTCTGTTACTTTCCATTTGTCCAATTCAAGAGAACGTGGCTGTCTAGCAAACTCCCTTGGCATTTTCCCACGGAGGTTTTTTAGTTTGTCTGATATCAATTTAAGTTGTTGTTGTGACAACTTGCACTCCCTTGGACCTTGCTTCAGGAACATAAGAATCCTCTTCACTACACCTAGACAAACTAAATGCATGTAGTCAAGTGGGAAGGTATTTATGCAAAACAGTCCTGCATCTATTAATGGTGAGCGTGATGTTTGATGGTTGCTGTATAGGCATGCTCTAAATTCCTCCTCAGTTCGCAATGGAGGACTGTTATCAGATGAATTAAAAACAACACGGCCATTCCACTCACCCCTAATGGTACATCTTTCACAGCTGTAGTAACCATTGTGACCTACAGTACATTTTATGAAGGACCTGGCTGGAGCATCACATATAAAAGCATTTAATTTGACGGTGTATAAAATTTCATTAAAAGTTATTCCATGCGTTTTTAAATTTTCCAACTCTCCTAAAAAATCTGACAAATAAGCCTGCACAGAATTTGGCTTGGAATTTCCACAGTATAAAGCCACTATAAAAGGTTCATATTTTGACAAACTGCATAATATAGGCCAAAACTGTGTGTTTGATGATTTAAAAAGTGGGACACCATCAATGTTAAAATCTAACAACAGCTCATTATTTCTTGTAAAATGTCTTGCGTTTTGAGTCAAAATTTTTAAAATACCACTTTCAATTCCTAAATATATATAGTCACCTCCACATTTTTTATTTATATCGATATGTCGAGGAGTTTTTAACAGTGTTCTAGAATCCTTTGGAACGCGGTGTCCATATTTTCTAAAGATAAATAACAAAGAATTTAAGCCATCTCTTGATGTTTTGTTCTCAGTGGCCCATTCAGCTAAATCTTTACAAAGATCATTATTATCAGAATCAGATTGTTCATCTTCACTTGATACTCGGCTACTTCCAGAACTATCATTTTCACTACTCTGTTCTTCTTCACTACTTATTTCTTCATCATTACTGCTTTCGACATTATCACTACTCGCTTCATTTTCATTGTTGCCATATTCATGATTAATATTAATGTTACTGCTCTGACTTTCAGACAATTCATGCATTCTTTCTGAACCTTCTTGTACAGCTGATACATGGCTCGACACACTTTCCTCATCATCACTTAGGCAAGCCAAGTTTTCTACCTCAGTGTTATACATTCTCCATCTTCTAAGATATGAGCGCTGTAAAAGGTTTGAATTTTGTTACATGCATATGTTTATACATGTTATATGTTGTGTTAAAATTCCTGAAAGTTGATCATGCATTTCGTTTGCCCTTTAATATAAATATGATAATCCATTAGGCTAGACTTTTTATTGTTTTTCAACGACATAAGCCTACCCTAAGTTTTGGAAAACCAAAATAAAATAGACTTTGTCAACTTTTATATTTACTTTCCCTCCTACCTGCCTACCCTATGTTAAGAACCAGAAAAAAATAATCTTGAATGAGAACCGTTAGTTATTTTGCAGGTTTTTTTTTCTAATCATAATTAATTGTATTTTCATTTTTGGAACCAACTGAGCACAACTTTTGACTTTTATTTCTATTTCGCCCAAAATTTTCTCTCTTAACAAATAATAAAAAAAGTCTGGCCTTAAATAAGTCTGAAAATTATCTATTTAATTTTAATAATTGTTTCTTTGTGACATAATGTTCAGTGGCGGATCCAGAGGAAGGGGGGGGGGGGGGGGTTCCGGGGGTTCGCACCCCCCCTTTATTTTGGCCGATCAATGCATTTGTATCGGGACATATATTTTGCACCCACCCTTTTGAAAATTCCTGCATCCGCCCCTGATGTTTCATAGATTAGGCAAAACAAAATAGGGTATACATGTAGGCTGGGCAGAAATTTTAAAATTAATATTCTTTTTTATCAAGTTTCAGATTGATATTAGTATATATAACTGACAATTCTAAGATTATTCTTGATAAAACCATTTTGAAGATATGCTCACATTTATTTTGTCTCTTATAGATCCACACAATGATAATTTTCCAGCAGCATTTAAAATTTACAATAAAATGAAGGGGGGCTTTTGGGTACATTTTAAAGACTTGGGTAACCATTTTAATTTTGACTAATATGTGGACAATTGTTGTTATTAAAGGATGACTTTATAACATATTATTTTTTATATAGTTTCCTCAGAGATTTTCTTGGTTTTCTATACTCTGGCTTCAATCATAAAAGTTTCCAAAAAATACAGCAATCAAACAAAAAACTTGATATAAAAAATGGCCCATGAGGCTCTGCTGCATGCATGCATTTAGGTTTACATGCATAAGAATAGAAAACAGTGATTCTGAAGTAAAATATATAAGAGAACATAGTTTCCATGTTCCCCACGTTGCAAATAATTCATTTATCAAATGTTACAAATACAGATGGCATCACTCTTTTTTAAAAAGTCAAATGGCAACCATTTTAGAATTGTTAGAGATATTGCTGATATTATTTTATATAGAATTTGTTTTATAAAATTCTTGAAAATTTTCTATTAAAAAAAGTGATTGGTACCAAATTTTGAAGTTGTCAGAGTCATGTGAATTGTTGATATAAACCTATGACATAAGTTTCATAAAATTCTGGAAAGAATTGTACAAGTAACTATAAACAAGAGGCTCTCAAGAGCCTGAATCGCTCACCTTAAATTATTTGTTTAAATCTTTCATCAATGATTATTTTGGCTTTTTAATTTATATAAATATATTCTTGAATCTGGTCATATCTTCTTCAAAAGCAAAACAATGCATTTTACCACTATGTTCTATTTTAGCCAATACAGGCTATGTTTCTTGACGTACAAGGAAATAAATATAAAATTTATACTAAATACTCTGAAACTCGTTTGGCTGAAATTTATTCAGCAGTTTCAAAGGAGAAGATTTTTTAAAGTAAGCTAACAAGTAAAAGAAATTAAGTAAAATATCTTTAAGTTTTAAGGGCAATAAATCCTTAAAAGGTCAATTGACAATTTTGGTATTATTGACTTATTAGTAGATCTTATTTTGCTTAACAGTTTTACTGTTTACAGTTTCTCTTTATCTATAATAATATTCAAGATAGTGATCAAAAACTGCAAAATTTCCTTAAAATAACCCCCATGTTCTATTTATAGCTATGGCGGTCATGTTTGTCAATTGATCAAAACTTGTACAATTTATAAAATAGATACTCTAAAGAACATTATATTAAAGTTCCATATATATATAGCCTAGTTTGTTTATTCTATAGGGTCAAATATTTCAAAATCCTTAATAAACATGATTGTGACAAAAACATGTGACATGCATTCTCATGCAACATGCCAAATAGCAGTTATCTCCTCCCTGTAGGCTCCTCTGCAAAATGGATTCATCTCTGAAATTGAGAAACCATCACAGATGAATTTCTCTCTGCGAGTGCTATATTTTTATAATTGATTTAATTTAATACATGTATTTAATTTACAGACTTTTATTATTGATAAGATATCAACATCCAACGCTTAGTGAAGCCATGTTTTTCGGTTTTATAATTTAATGCTTAAAAAAAGTAATTTTATAAACTCACAGGTAGATCTCTTCCATTTCCTTCTGCCATCCTATTTTATAATGGTATATCCAGACTACTTATAATCAAATAACCAACAGACTATAAAACCTGTAATGAAACAGTGAAAATAGTTATACATTTTTTAATCATTTATTGCTAACTTCAATGTCAGTTAGCTATATAGTTGGTAAAAAAATTTAAATAAAATTCAAACCTTTGGGTAAAAATTTACATAAATTTATAAACTGTCGATTATATATCCCTCTTAGGAGACCAAAATATCTTTTCTTGACATCTATCTGACCATGCTACATGTAGCTCCTGGAGACATTTTGTATACAATGCATAACTTCAAAGCATATACAGGTACACATGATGGTGACATCTGTAACTAAGTGTGCACCAGCCCCTATTTGTAGTTACTTATTATTTCAAACTGCCAGGATTTGAAAAAGTGTCACTTGTTGTTAAAAGCAAAATACCAAAATAATGAAACCACACCCATTAGTACATTTTTACCTTCTTAAAAAGGTTAAGAATGACCATCCGAGACAGACACCAACCTTGTGAGGACCTTGCCACCCATCATCATGAGACAGACAAAAGTAAATAGTGTATTCACTACTTCTGTCAATTACAAGTGCATGGATACAATAATGATGAATCTGACTAAATATATACAATTAACATGAATTAAATACATGTACAATAAATCTTCGATTAAGAGTCTAATTGGCACTCATACCCCATCTTCTTTTGTTCAATTTATATTATTTACATGAATTTTAAAACAGTATTTGTTCACTCAATTTTATTTGAAGTTGCCAAGATATACAAAAGCATCACTCGCTACTAAAAATAAAATACTAAGATTACCACTACTGCTATTTTGTAAGAATCAAAAAGGAAAATCAACCCAGGTTTCCATATAACATGGTGTATACACTTACAATGTACATTATTTCACTGCATTGAGTCTTGGACATGATGGATGGATTCGTTGTCTCATTGGCATCGATATATACCACTTCTTATTTTTATATGTACAGGATATTGAGTACAGTAGAAATAAAACTCTGTATTATATATCTTTATATATATTTTACGTGGTATGGGTGTGCCGCAAAACAGGGTCCCTTTTTCTTTCATGCCATGCTTTTAGAACAGGGTCCTTTTTTCATGTCCTGTTGTTAGAACAGGGACACTTTTTAAACATACAGTCTAGAACAGGATCGCTTATGTAAAATAACAGTCTAAATATCTTAAACAGGGTATAAATGTTCTGAGTGTGTCTAGAACAGGGTATGTTTTTCAATATTTTCTGGTTAGAACAGGGTCTCATTTGGCAAGTGCTATCGGCACAGTTATACCCAAAAAGATGGTCAGTAGGCCCCCCGGGTGGTGCATTCAATCTTCAACACTGAATTTTTGTTAATGGCTTTATCTCGGCCGCACTGTAATAAAAGGGACAAAACAGACTACAATGTGATTTACTACATAAATTACATTTGTTTACAAATGCAAGAATATATGTTAATTTTTCAACTAGAGAAGTCATGGTCACTCTTCAATAATGACTACATGTAGTCATGACAGCTGTACAAGTTCCAGGTGATTTATGTTATACAGTTATATTCATTAATTTCTGAAAAAAAGTTTAGGATTCAAAACGAGGTCCTTCATCTTACTTTTTCATTTTTTTACATCATCTGGTTAGAATATATTAAGCTGGTCCTCGACCGACTACTACACTCAATGACTTAATTAGTTCAAAGACAGCGTAAATACGAGCGTTTTATATTTGATCATATTTAGCGTGTCAAATTTTTGTTTATAAATTTACCTAAAATCCTTACAAATGCGAACATACTTCCGGTTTTTTGTTCCGTGTCAAAATTCACCTCGTTTTTTTAAATTAAAACATAATTTCCATACCCAGAAGCAATCTTATCTGAATAAATATGAATTGATTTAATTACGTTTATTTAAACTGACAAATTGTGTTGGCTAATTAATAATTTCTTTGAATGTTCAGTTGATTCACCTCAAAATGTCCACCATGCAATAATATATATTTCCTGACGCGACTAAACAGTTTATCTAACTGATGTTGAAAGAATAATATATAATTTTTAAGTATGATAAAACAAAATTTAAAGTATCCATATATTTGTAGACAAGTTAATATATACTTACAAAACTTCTAATACAATCTTCTTCTGGGTGATGTGCTGTTTTGGATTTAGGAGTGACTTGACCAACGCGCGTATGCAGAGAAATGCCGCCAAAAGCCGCGCACGCGTGCTTTCGTTCTATTTGATAATTTCCGACTATCATTTTTGTCAATATGACGATATAATTATATTGTGGACTTAATTAGTTAAAGTTGGTCATTCGTTTGGCATTTATATACAACCTGAACTTGAAAAAGTCACCATTTCTGCTATTCAGTTTTATCACCGCTTAGTATTCATAGGCGGATCAAAGGTGTGTGTGTGTGTGTGGGGGGGGGGGGGGGGGGTAAATTATAAATGGAATCACTGAAGCATGACTAGAGCGGACCCCTATATATTATAGGTTATAGTCAGTGCCCTTTTAAAAAAATCTGGATCTGCCACTGTAAATTAATTGTTTGTAATTAACCAAAAAAAATATATTGAGACTTTTTAAGTCGTATCGGGAGTCGTATCCTATTGAATAAGAGGGAAAATGTATAAAGTAGAATTGCATTTAATATAAAAACTGTTGAACATGCACTTATAATTATTAACTATAAGCTAAATTGAGTAAAAATAGGTTGAAATATGAAAAAAAATATTGTCAATTAAATAAAAGAAACACAAAAATAAAAAAGGGGGTCCACTTCACCAGCGCTTATAACAATTTAGCTATTTCTTATTGTTTTTTAGTTTCTGTGTGTAACCACAGCCAGTGCCTTGATTTGAACATAAAAGAATCAACTTTTAAACAGCATTTTTCAACATATATATATATACCTTCAACATTAAAGATTCAACCAAAATTCAGCAAACAGTGTACTTTCTGTAACCTAAATTCAACGTTGAAGAATCAACCTATATTAAACGTTGAAATAACATACTTTCTGTTACCTAAATTCAACGTTGAAGATTCAACCAAATCCAACGTTGAAACAACATACTTTCTGCAACCATAATTCAACGTTATAGAAACAACCAAAATCCAACGTTGAAACAACATACTTTCTGCAACCATAATTCAACGTTGTAGAAACAACCGAAATTCAACGTTGAAACAACATACTTTCTTCAACCTAAACTCAACGTTGTTATTTCAACGTTGAAACAACGTTGAAACAACGTCATGACCAAACATCAACCATTTATCAACGTTGAAATGACGTTGAGTGCCGGGTGGGTAGCTACATGTGTTCTAGTTAACCATTTCTCTAATTTTTACACGATTTATCCTTTTCCTCACCTGTTGATTATTTTCATCTTATCGACGTGTGGTTCGTTTGATCTCATTTCTTTATTGGCCAAAATTTGATTGCTTTCCTCTGAATTTCTTATTGTGACGTCATGGACAATGCTGATCATGCCTGATGACGTCACATAGAAAGAACACATCTTGATTCAAATCATTCGAAAAGAAGGATTCAGTTTGTCTGCATATCGTTTAAAAAGTTATTAGAGAAACAGATTCCTACACCAAATCTTGTGCAATACGATATTTATCTACTCTCGGTAGTTAAATTTTAAATATTTAAAATGCTCGGCGAGCCTCGCGTTTTACATATGAAAACTTAAATGTCTCGGTTAGGTCCAGTCAGTTAATACATGTATATAATATAAAGTATACAGTAGATTATTACGCGGTATGGGTTTTGCTAATTGTTGAAGGCCGTAAGGGGACATATAGTTGTTAACTTCCAATTGGTGTCTGTTTGGAGAGTTGTCTTATTAGCAATTATACCATCTTCTTATTTTCATATAGACATGAAGATCTGTGATGTTTATTAGAAGTCACAATCCCTAAATATCTCTATACAAGTTAAAAAAAAACAGAAACAACATTAGACAATTATCATAGATGTCCATAGAAATTGTAAGATATGTTTGCATGGTAGATTTGAAATGGAAGTTCTTCATAAGTTGAAGCCTGGTAAAATATAATATAAAAATTCAAAGTAAATCAAAACCTTTACACATTCAAAACTATTTTCAGATATTTCCTTCAATTATTTCTAGATTTGATTGATTGATGTATAATAGTCTTTGTAAAAAAGGTATAACATTTCTCTTTGGTTAATTTTTTTGCTGGTGATTACACAAAAGCTGAAGAAGTTATACGTTTTTGTTTAAAGTGGAAATAACTTTTTCTTCCGTAAACAGTTAACAAGTTTTGAGTATATTTAACATTTAAAATTATCTGTTTTATCGAGTTTTTATAGTTCGAATCATTAAAACTGTACAATTATGATAAATGCAAAGTATCAGATGCATATGTTCTGGAAACCTCAACATCCCATCAAAAATACTTAAATTTTAGTCCTAGAACACTGGACACTTTTAATTTGCAAAACACTCATTTGCAAATCCGCCGCCGCCTCTCCTTAGAGCTACAGTGTCGTGTATATAACCAAAATGTGCGGAATTACATGGGATTCAATAAATTCATTGCTTTTCTGCTGTCATTGTTATATATATTTTTTTATTTGATTTAGAAAAACATGGGATTTTCAATATGCCATGGGATAAGGCAAATCCCATGGGATTGACCATTATCCCATGGGATTTTGGTTAAATCCCATAGGATTTTTTTGGGTCCCATGGGATAATTGTAGTCCCATGGGATATTTGTTGTCCCATGGGACAAAAAAAATCCCATGGGACTAAAATTATCCCATGGGATTTTTAATATCCCATGGGACAAAATAAAATCCAATTAATCCTATGGGATTCAAATTATAAATATACAGTAATGTGTATGTTACAATGAATTCTGTTTGGTAGTAAATTGTTTTAAGATGAATCTTTTTAGTTGAATATCTTTTTTTCCTTGGAAATGTTAATGCAATCATATTGTTCTATAATTGTTCAAAACTAAACTTTTAAACAACAAAGCAGATAATGTAAGTATCAATATATGTTTATTTATGAATTCTAGAATACTTTTTTGAAACACAATTTTTTCCCATTTGGAATCAACGAAAACTCTATTATTAGGCTTAACATACTAGTAGCTTTTTATATAAATCTAATTTTTTTCAGGATATCCCTCCATCCAAAAAATTAATAGTTTCTTATCATCCAGCATTGTGTGTTCTAATGTATAGTCCACTTTTTTGGCCATTCAGCACATAACATTGTCATAATTGTGGTTTTAATATCTTTAGATATTTAATAGAACTTCGATTCATTGACTGAGTGATGAAAATAATAACTGATCTGACATTTGTCTTTGAATTTATTATGGTCTTGTTTCTGTGTTTTCTCCTTTTATTCTAAGTGATGAATTTCAATCCTTCTGAAAAAGAACCAATAAAATCCGAAGTTATGCATTATAAAAAATTGTTTGCATACATGTAGCAATAACATATGATTTTCAATAAAAATAGCTATGCGGTATGGATTTTACTGATTGTTGAAGGTTGTCCAGTGTCATCAGTTGCTAACCTCCTACATCCTTTGGTCTCTGATGGAGAGTTGTCAAATTAGCAATATACCACATCTTCCTATTCTAATATTATATAACAATCAATTTATGTATTCTTCTTTATAACATTTGGGTATTTTCCCCAGTTATATATATATATATATATATAGATCAATGTTAAAACTTAAGGCAATTACAATAACATTCCATTTTTCACAAGAATTTGCAATATATTATACAAAACGCCAACAATAGAAACAGCACTTCTTTAAGCTTCTGAAGTTCTGAAAGAGTTCCACTTGTGTTTTATTTCAATGAGAAAATACCTTGAACTCTTTTGACATGTCGGAAATTATAACATTGATACAAAAAATTACATTGTTTTTTTTCTTATTTTTGTGTTGTTCGGTTGCTGTCTCATTTTTATATATGGTTATACATATATCCTAAATCTTCTTTTTGTTAACACTTAATTATTAATAGTAAAAATGGGATATTTTTTATTTTGATAATCTCAAAACATAATAATTCTATCAAATAACTTATTTCCAAGTTCACAAAACACCAATGTGTCAGATATTAATTTTAAGACGTGTATAAACATGATCAACAAGCAGTTGACAGGATGTCATGCAAAAATCTCACTAATATTAAACTTTCACAAAAACTCCATACTCAGCGAGTACTATTAAAGTTCTTAGTACAGGACAAATTCCTAGTACAGGACACCATGCCTGGCAAACACTAGCATGTGTCAATGTCTAGTCAATCATGTAATCAGGCTCAAAATCTTAGTTTGGCACTGAATTTAAAAGTTCACCACATAATGAAGATGTGTATGAAATTCAACTTCATGGTAAGCTATGTACCTTAACCTAAAACTTTAACCTAAGAATGTACTATAATTTCACATTATGACATTTCTATGTTCAGTGATTCATAAAATCAGGGTAAAAAAAGTAAATGTGGTGTATAATGTATAAACAAGAGTGCACATGCTGAAATGTTGCGCCTTCTTTACTAATCATTGATATCATGTTGATAGTCCTAAATATAAAGCTTTACTACAACTATCACATAAACTCAACATGATCCAAGAAAATGAATTCAAGGTCATATAAACCCGACAAGAAATACATGTACACCTTACAATCATTCAATATACTAAATACAGTTGACCTATTGCTTATAGTTTCTAAGAAGCAGACTTAAACAAGAAAACTAAACATTGACCAATGAACCATGGAAATGAGGTGAAAATCTGATGAACCATGCCAGGCAGACATGTACAGCTTACAATCCTTCCATACAACACATATAGTTGACCTATTGCTTATAGATTAAGAAAAACAGACCAAAACACAAAACCTTAACACTGAGCAATGAACCGTGAAAATGTCAAATAAAACCTGCGAGACTGACATGTACATCATAAAATGTTTCCATACACCAAATATAGTTGACCTATTGCATTTAGTAATAGAAAAAAAGACCAAAACTCAAAAAAATAACTTTAACTACTGAACCATTAAAATGAGGTCAAGGTCAGATGACACCTGCCAGCTAGACATGTACACCTTACAATCATTCCATACACCAAATATAGTAGACCTATTGCATACAGTATAAGAAAAACAGACCAAAACACAAAAACTTAACTATAACCACTGAACCATGAAAATGAGGTCAAGGTCAGATGACACCTGCCAGTTAGTCATGTACATCTTACAGTCCTTCCATACACCGAATATACTAGACCTATTGCTTATAGTATCTGAGATATGGACTTGACCACCAAAACTTAACCTTAAATATAAAAAAGAAGATGTGGTATGATTGCCAATGAGACAACTCTCC